AAGACATCTTGCATCTGAAGAAGTGAGGTTCTTACCCACAAAAGCTTATGCTCCCAATACTTCTGTTAGTCTTAAAGGTGCCACAGGACCCTCTGTTGCTTTTTGCATACTTTTAAAATTATGCAGCTTCCATGGAATCTGAGGGTTTTAATTTCTTCACTTTCAAAAGTTAAGTGCTGCTATATTAAGTTTTTGTAACATTCCTGTCTGAAGGATTTTTTTACCTTAATTGTATTTCAGTTGGTATTACTTAGTGGTTTAACTATAATTAATTCTTGAACCCATTCCTCTGTTGCATAGGACTGCAAATAACTTTTATATGCTTAGAACTAGTTATTCCAAGATGCAGTCATTTCAGATGTCAAGAAATTACTTCTCTAAACCTTGTTCCATTGTAAAAATCATGGTGGTGATATTTATTTAACTACTTCCCAGTACTTTTTTCAGGTGTAACTGTAATTTTATGGAGGGGGTTTTAGAAGTCTAATCCAAACCTCACTGCATTCAAGTCAGCATCAGTAGTCTTTGAATCAGGCTCAGAAAGTGCTAACATACTGCTGAACTAGTCACCCGCAGAGGGAGAATAGAACTCAAGACTACTTGGTCTGTGCTTCTGAGCCACATGAGGTTTAAGGGGCTACAAGGGCTTTCATTACCATCACTATCCAGGGCTTCCTGATGTACTTACAAGACAAGGTTTATAAATTAATTATTCATTCTTTTTTCCATACTAACAATGATCTTCACACTATTAAAAAAAGTAATAAATAAAGACGTGCTTCCTGTTCAAATGAATTTGTGAGCCAAAAGGCAGACAAAAATTAGACAGCAATGCACCATTCAGAGGAAGGTAATAACTTTGAAATTATTTTTAAAAATAAATGGAAGTTCTGATGGTGTCATGTGAGTTAGCATTTTCAGGCATTGCTAGAAGAGGGGTTTTAGGGCTTTAAGGGGCAAATGATCTCTGCTCTAACTCTACTGATGTCAAGGGAGTTACAGCAGGAATTAATTTGGCCTTCAACGTTTTTGAAAATTTATATTATGCCTGATTGCTTCACAGTGCTCCTAATATTCAAAGCTACAGTACGCTGAGCAGACAGACCTAATAACAAAGACTGTTATGCTTGTGTTCTCTCCTCCCCCTGCAAGTTTCTAAGCTGCCGATTGAGCAAAGAAACATAAAAGACTAAACTGTTACTCATGCGCAAAAAAGGTCAGCTCTTATAACTTCAAGACTACTGAACCAATTTCCTTCAAATTTGTCTGGTTCCTTTGGTCTGAAGGAGATCTGCAAAAAAACAAATCAAGTATGAGCAAAACTCATTCTACTCTTTAGATAGGCATGCACCGCATTTCTGATCGAAATATATGCAGGAAGTGGGATTTTTGTTTTAATACATGCAAAACTCAAAACTGGCTGGACAAATGTTCATGAAACTTTAAAAATAAATCACCTCTGAGCTGAAAAAAATTCACCCCAAATGAATTTGTTTGCAAACGTTATGAGAAATTCATAAGTGGTGGAATGGGAAATGGGGTGTATGTGTGAAATGTAAATACGTAAGCTGCCATTATATTTCACCCTGGTTGGTAATGGATGCAACCGTTTCCTCTATAACTCTCTCTTGCACAAACACATAAAACTGGTACAAACATTTTAAAGAAATTGTGAATCCCAATAAGCCTATATATATATATATGTTAAGGACAACATGATTACTGAGAGAATGAGACCCTATGGAATCTATGTTCAGGAGCCAAGTTATCTGTAATTTCATTTCACTATGTCCTGCATATCTCCATAATCACGGAAAGGCCTGCAGATATGACTTAACATGACTAATCCATTGGGATCCAAGTGGCTAGACAAGGGAGGACATTTGGACTATGTTTTATTCTCATATGGAGAGGATTGTGTATGTTTCTTGAGAGCTGAAATTTAGAACCAATTACTGTAATACTGAAACCTTTCTTTTATCTTCAGAAAGCAGCAGTGTAGGATTTAAGACTGTAAACCTATGGAAATTTGCTCTCATTATCATCATCATTTCTTGCCCCTTCCCTATTTCTTAATTAAAGGAATTTAATTAAAGTAGTAATTAGTAATAATGTATCTACACAGAGATGTAATATCATATATTTTTTCCTCACTTTTAAATTGTTCACATATTAATCTCCAGCCATGGATTGTCTGCACTGCTTAAAATCTAAAATTCATTATTTTGGGAGCATTTTTGTGTTTTAACTTTGAAAGGCTAGGAAAAAATATAATAATAAAGAAAAAGGAAAAAGGAAAGATGGTTTTGTGGATACGACACTAGGCAGCAACTCAAACTTCAGTTCAATTCCCATCTGTGCTATAGATTTCTTCTGTGACCTTGGGCAAATCAGTGAATCTCTCTGTACTGTTGTTCCCCATCTCTTTTTTCCCTAAGAGAACAATAATACTTCCTTTGTAAACTCTTCAGGACAGGGACTTGCTCTTACTCTGTGTTTGTGCCATGCCTAGCACTATACAGCCATGATCTTGGGACTATTATTGTGGGGCTCCTGTCATATAAATAAGAACGAATTCAGTACTACAGACTAAATAAAGGCTTGGAGCCATGATCTGCTCCTATATCTTTACCAGACATTATTATTATTATTTATTAGCATTACAGAAGCACCTTAAGGTATGTCTACACAGCCCACATCAGCGAACCTCCCAGCCTGGGCTGACTGACTCAGGGCAGTGGGACTTGTTCCAGCACACTAAGTATAGCTCTATAGGCAGCACTTTGAACATACTGCTTGGGCTGGAGGCTGGGGCTTGAAGCCCACCCCCTTCCCTAGCATTCAAAGCCTGAGCTCCAGCCTGAGCCAAAACTTCAAAGCTCTGTCTATTTTAAGAGTGGTAGTGCAAACCTTGCTGCCCCAAGTCTGTCAGCCCAGGTTGGGAGGCTGTTTGCCACAAGCTGTGCAGATGTACCAGTAGATGCTTCAATCAGGATCAGGTGCCCATTGTAATAGGCTGTGTACAGACACTTAATGAGAGATAGTCTGTGCCCCCAAAGGGTTTACCAGCTAAACAGACGAGACAAGCAAAGAGTGGGAAGGGAAACAAGATACATAGGGAGAAGAAGTGACTTGCTTTCCTGACTCCCAATCCCCAGGTTCTAGCCACTGGACACTGCCTCTCCGAGTAATGGTGGACATAGTTAAACTGGCTCTTAAATAATAAGTTTCACTTCCTAGATACGTTGCTTGGCTTTATTATGAGTGGCAGAAAAAGAGCAAAATAAACAAGGTTTATCTAATACCAATGCCGCTTGAAAAGATTTTTGCAAGTGAGGCTTAATCACTTGTAAGAATTGATTGCCTGCCTGTTAATAAACATTAGCCAGTGTATTGCCACTTGCTGATGAGTGGTTTATGTGTTCTGGTCCCTGCAGACTGAAGAAGTCCTGAAGATTGATGGAGGGCCATGCTATTCAAACAGCAGGCGTTGCTGAGACAGAAGCTCTTTGTGCTAGGCAGCCTTGCTATTGGAAGTCTCCTATATCTAGTTGCCAGAGTTGGGAGCTTGGATAGGTAAGTAATTAAACAACCAGGTATAAGTCACAGTCTTAGTTATAAATGGATCTGGATTTATTAATTATAACAGGTTTTTTTTCTCCTCTTTTGCTTAAAATGTATAGTTCTCCAGGTTTTTTTTCCCTACTGATGTATAGAAAGACTATCCACCTTAATATTGATTTTCATTATTTCTTCCTCCTTTTTGTGGGGAGGGAGTGGAAGAAGGGAGAAGGGTGCTGCTTGTCCAAGTCAAAGTATTTCTATCTGTCTATTTGTATTCTGTGTGCATTGGTGCTTGTTTTCAGAGGAAGAATAAAGCAGCGTACAGTACAAGTGTCATTACAGTAGCTCATTTTTGTATGTGTGCATCTGTGCGTTGACCTCTAGTCTCAGCAAAACAGTTATGATGTATTTATGTATCTTCTTTTCTAAATTTACGGAAAAGCAATTAATGTGCGACAGGGATAGTTAAAATTATGTATGAGCCTGCAGAGTAGCTTATCGAGTTTTGAATCCTATTGCACTTGAAAGATTGCTGCGGGGTTTGAGAATTTTAACTATGTTAATTAGCCATGATGTTCTGGAGCTGAATGCACCAGACAAGGAGGTTGTGTCTGCAAGTGATTTCCTTGAGAGCAGTGGAAAATCCACAGAGAGGAATTTAGAGAGTATTTGGCACTCTTGACCAGGCACACCCTTGAGAAACTATTTGGGATGTAACAGACCTATCCCTAACAGCTGATAATGTTTTTGAGACCTAAGAATGACGTGGGATTGCTTTGATATATGCCAGCTTTGGAAGCATGACTGAAAAGAGTTTGGGGTTCCCTGTGGGTAAGGCCTAGGTCTGAACAGCTTGGGGTTGTGTACACATGTCTATGCCAATGACCCTGCTCACCCCACCCTGGGAAAATATGGCCGAAGTGTAAAACTGTGACATGCTTCTATTCAAAGTAGCTAGAGCATGTAAAACTGCATAAGAACAACATGGGAACTGCAATATCAAATCAGACTACTGGCCAACCTGGGCCCCATCCCTATGTGGTGTTGATGCCTTCCAAGGTGATTAGGTCCCTTCCTCTTCCATTCACTTCAGTCCCACTATTGAGGAAGGCATTCAATGCTATCAGGTGGACTCAGTGCCTCACAGGATCAGACCCCTAAACTGGTATCTTGCCTTCAGCTGTGACCAATGCTTGATGCTTCAGAGGAGGTTAAAACTATAGATAGCCAATTATGTGATTCTGTAGGTGGGGTAAAAATTCCTTCTTGACTCCTTCAGGAGTTTATCTTATGCCCTGAGGCATGAAATGTAATTAACAAACCTGAGCCATTCTTTTGGGGTGACAGATCTGAGGAACTGTCCGAAATTGAGGTGTCATTAGAGGAGGTTTTGAAACAAATTGATAAACTAAACAGTAATAAGTCTCCAGGACCTGATGGTATTCACTCAAGAGGTCTGAAGGAACTCAAATGTGAAATTGCAGGACTACTAACTGTCATTTGTAACCTATCATTTATATCAGCTTCTGTACCAAATGACTGGAGGATAGCTAATGTGATGACAATTTTGAAGAAGGGCTCCCAAGGTGACCCTGGCAACTACAGGCCACTAAGACTCACTTCAGTACTGGTCAAATTGATTGAAACTATCGTAAAGAACAAAATTGTCAGACACATAGGTGAACATAATTTGTTGGGAAATAGTCAACATGGTTTTTCTAAAGGGAAATCATGCCTCACCAATCTACTTGAATTCTTTGAGGGGGTCAACAAGTATGCGGACAAAGGAGATCCAGTGGTATAGTGTATTTAGATTTTCAGAAAGCCTTTGACAAGGTCCCTCACCAAAGGCTCTTAAGCAAAATAAGCAGTCATGGGATAAGAGGGAAGGTTCTTTCATGGATTGGTAACTGGTTAAAAGATAGGAAACAAAGGGTAGGAATAAATGGTCAGTTTTCAGAATGAAGAGAGGTAAATAGTGGTGTCTCCCAGGGATCTGTGCTGGGCCCAGTCCTATTTAACATATTCATAAATGATCTGGAAAAAGGGGTAAACAGTGAGGTGGAAAAATTTGCAGATGATACAAAACTACTCAAGATAGGCAGACTGCGAAGAGATACAAAAGGATCTCACAAAACTGGGTGACTGGGCAACAAAAGGGCAGATGAAATTTAATGTTGATAAATGCAAAGTAATGCACATTGGAAAACATAATCTAACTATACATATACAATGATGGGGTCTAAATTAGCTGTTACCCCTCAAGGAAGAGATTTTGGAGTTATTGTGGATAGTTCTCTGAAATCATCCACTCAGTGTGCAGCGGCAGTCAAAAAAGCGAACAGAATGTTGGGAATCATCAAGAAAGGGATAGGTAAGACAGAAAATATCATATTGCCTCTATATAAATCCATGGTACGCCCACACCTTGAATACTGCGTGCAGATGTGGTCGCCTCATCTCAAAAAAGATATATTGGAATTACCCCAGTAGTGAAGATAAGCCGAGAGAGACAAGCTTGTGCACACCAGAATGTGCATGAATTATCCCCACAAAGGATTTGAGCATGCTCCAGCCTAGGCTACAGGGAGAACTGGATTTTCCCTGTAATGGCTGCTCCCAGGTGCTCCAGGCAATGGTGGAGCCAGACATCAGACCTGAAATCAGGGAGCCTGTCCTTCCTGTGCACTCAATGACACCCCGCTCCCACCTACTGGCATCCAGGCAGCATGGAGGAGGATGGACTAGATGACCTCCTGAGGTCCTAATCTTCTATGATTCTGATCTTATTCAAATGCAGAGGTAACAAAAGCTGGACCGGGGGTGGGAAAGGAGTAGATTGGGAGAAGGAGTGTGGTGAGACTCAGACTCGAGGGGGAAGAGAAATTTGGACTGGGGCTGACTGGACAAGGATGTTGGGGCTGGGAGTTGGGGGGAGTAGAGGAGAGCCTAGGTCTGGTTGGGCAGGGAGGCTGGGACTGGAAGCCAGTGAGAGAAATGGTGGGAGACTGGGAGCCAGGTGGTTGGGGGGCAACACAGATCTGACACGGAGCTGGGGTGTGAGGGACAACTGGGACTGGCTGGACAAAGAGTCTGGAACAAGGAGCAGGGAGCAGGAAGACTGGGACAAGGATCTGGGGAGGGAATGTGGGGGAGACTGAGAAGGAGAGAGAGGAGTAACTGAGACTGGCTGGGCAAGGAGGTTGGGGACTGAGCATGTGGAGGGGGTCAAACTTAGATTGGGAGAGATATTGGGACTTGAACAGAGAGCCCAAAGGGGAAAACTAGGACTGGGACTGAGACTGAGACAAGAACCCTGATGAATAGAGACTGGGACTGGATAGGGTGGGAAAGAGACAAGACTGGTACACAAACAGGCTGGAGGGAACAGGACAGAAGGAGTCAAGCTTGGGGCAAAAACACAAGAGTCTGCTCATTAGAGCTCATATCCCAACAGAGGCTGGAATAGAACGCAGGATTACTGAGTTTTACTATTCCTCTGCTGTCAGCAAATATCTGTGAAATCTACTGGCAAACTGTGCTGTCTCTTCTGCAAGTGCTGATCCACATGGAGGATGACAACATACTACTGCTATTAGACGCTCTATTACTTCAAATGACAAAAGTCTCTGCAGTGATTCTAAAGGTTCCAATTCTGCAGATGAACCATGTGGGTGTCAATTTGATGCCATATGATGGAAATTCTGCTTTTTCAGTTTTCTTTTTAATAAAAACCTAGTAAATCACACACACACATTCCATTATTAGCAGTGTGTAAAATATTATATAAACATATAAATAATGACTGTATCATAATGCGCACACACTTAATTCTGGCATTTCCTAACTTTTCAGTGCTTGACCTTGCAACCTTAAGATTGCTCTTTTAATATGGGGGTTGGGGGGGTGTAATACTCATCTATAGATATAGATAGATATTATGTGCAAACTTGAGCATTAGTGTTTTCAGGGATTGTGATGGATTCTGTAGCATGGAATCCTGACAATTGTCTCATTATTCCATATCTTAGGTTATTAATAGCATTTTGAAAGCATAAATACCTTAAATGGCAAGATATTATTTCCAAAAATAGTACTACACATCAGAATTCTGGAATCAGTTTGTTTGTTTCAGGATTTTCTACTAAAAGCACATTGCCCAGATCTGTCAAATATCTAGTTGTAAAGCAGGTGCTAATATGACCCAGGCCATTTGTTTTTCTTATGCTGTGAACATGCTGCTATCAATTAAGAGCTTGATGAATAGGAATTTGGAAGAATATTAAAAATGCCACAGATTGTCTGCCCCATTTAATAAAGGGTGGATTAAAATAAAATTTGCAAACAGATGTTCATTATGCTTTACAACAGGACAAAAATCTCATCTGTTTTGTTGATTTCAGGCTGCAGCCCATTTGTCCCGTTGATGGTCGATTTCGACCCCATGGCCAAGACGAGATCCCATTCCGAGCTCTGCAGTTCAAGCGTGGGCTGCTCCATGAGTTCCGTAAGGGCAACGCCACTAAAGAGCAAATCCGGCTTCACAATTTGGTTCAGCAGCTCCCTAAGGCCATTATAATTGGGGTGAGGAAAGGAGGCACCCGTGCACTGCTTGAGATGTTGAACCTCCATCCTGCAGTGGTCAAAGCTTCTCAAGAAATTCACTTCTTTGATAACGATGAGAACTATGCCAAGGGTATTGAATGGTACAGGAAAAAAATGCCTTTTTCTTACCCTCATCAAATAACAATTGAGAAAAGCCCTGCATATTTTATCACAGAGGAAGTACCTGAAAGGATTTATAAAATGAACTCATCCATCAAATTACTGATCATTGTCAGGGAACCCACAACAAGAGCTATTTCTGATTACACTCAGGTGCTGGAGGGGAAGGAAAGAAAGAATAAAACCTACTACAAATTTGAGAAGCTGGCTATTGATCCTAATACCTGCGAAGTGAACACTAAGTATAAGGCAGTGAGAACCAGCATCTACACAAAACATCTGGAGAGATGGTTAAAATACTTTCCAATCGAGCAGTTTCATATTGTAGATGGAGATCGGCTCATTACAGAACCACTGCCAGAACTGCAGCTGGTGGAGAAGTTCCTAAATCTTCCTCCAAGGATAAGTCAGTACAATTTATACTTCAATGCCACCAGAGGGTTTTACTGCTTGCGATTTAACATTGTCTTTAACAAGTGCCTGGCGGGTAGCAAGGGACGCATTCATCCAGAGGTGGATTCCTCTGTCATTACCAAATTGCGCAAATTCTTTCACCCTTTTAATCAAAAATTTTACCAGATCACTGGGAGGACATTTAACTGGCCCTAAACTAAATTTCATACAACACTATGTGTTGCACCTGGAGACAAGCAGTAATGTCTCTTCTAGAGTAAAAATATGCACTTTTCATAGACACAACTATCAAACTAACTTTTTTTCATGCATACGTGTACATATGCAGTGTGTGACCAAATATAAGGTGGGATCAATTTTTCTACAGAGTAGTAACTAACATAACTTTACTCTCTACATAGTTGCATCATTTTAAGCTATACAAATAAAGGACAAGGTAGTATTTAGGGGAATAAATTCAGATACTGTGCAAAAGGGTCAGTGTTCCTCTTGCTCAATAAAATTTCTTATGTGACACATTTATAGACCCAGACAGAATGTTAGTTTAGAACAGGCAAATTCACCTTGGAATTGTGTGTAGCTGTGAGGGTATATTGGAAAGTATAACGTTCAGGCTATATTAAGTATGCACCTTGCTAAAGGAATACTGACACTTCAAATACAATGATGAATTGTTACAGTGAAACTGAATAATACTATTTTCTTATTATTTGAAAAGAATATCCTATCTCGTACAAACAACATTGGTTCAAAGTTCCTGTGGTGAGTTTGCACTATTGTTTTATTGTATGGACCATAGTGTCACTTGTAGCATGTCAATCATGTGTCAAAAAAATCAAATAATTTTTTCTTCTATGCTTGTGTGTCAATAAAGAGAAACATGTATATAGTGTATATTGTTTGTAAATACTGGTTTCACACTAAGTAATTCTATTTTGTAAACTGAATATGGCTATTTAATTTATTGTGAAAATTAAATTTATTGTGGTATTTAAAAATGGAATGGATTAAAATTACTATATGTGCAACTATTTTCCACCTTTTGCTGTCTGATGTATATTGGTGTGATCCCAGAGGCGAAATAGTGTGTGTGTGTGTGTGTGTGTGTGTGTGTGTGAGAGAGAGAGAGAGAGTGACTTGCACTTGTAAACCTGATTTTCTGGACAGTTGAGAAAACTGATATATGAGTTGAAGTTCAGTTTATTAAAAAACTCACCCATCTGGAAATCTGATGTAATACACACCTCAAAGAACATTATTGCTGTTCAGTTACAGCGCTTTGCAATAATTAATTCAGTTGCAGTTGCCCATGAGGGTGAAAGATGCCTATAACCAGGTATATCAGAAGAGCAAAGCAGTCATTAAAAAATGAAATGACAGAGAGACAAACAGGCTTAGAAGAAATCAGAGAAAACATTTGTGGTATTTCTGCTTTTAAGTGAAAATATATAGGTTTGCCTAGAAACAAACAAGCCATACAGCTGCTACCGCTCACATAAACATATAGCTCAAGTGTTCATTCAGGAAATGAAGGAAAATTAGCTCTGAATTGGCTATCTTCATATTATATATACACTATAGTGCTCTTAAGCATTTATAAGAAAAACAAAGGCAATTAAAATAGTATTTTTTTTTAAAGAGAGCTTTTTAGAACCATTGTGTGAATGATGTATAGGGACAGCTATTTTGGAAGGTATCGAGAGTATTAAAATCTTGTGAGTTCCGGCAGTGGTGTATTTGGTAGCTCAGTTCATAATAAGCTAAAGTTTTCCCCATGGGCTGTTTATCCTGCTCAGTGATGTGAATGAATCAGTTTTCTAAACAAGTGATTTTTAAGTCTTCTGTGAGCGATTGCTAACTGTCTCACCATACCTTTAATCATATGCGCTAGTGTTGTAAACAACATACACTTTCTTCCCAAGCTGATTGGGCAGTCTTCTGAGAAGGCTGGATGGGTGCAAGGTTTAAACAGCAAAAGCACTCAATGCTTTATCTAATGAACTATCTCACTTGCCCAGGTACTGAAGCAGAATTAGGGGTATGTAAACAATCCAGCAGATTAGATACATAATGCTTTATCCATTTTAAAATTTACAAGGCCTTTTTAGAGGTGCAAGCAGGTCCCAGAAGGCCTCATATGGGGGCTGCTCATTGGCCTGGCCTAGTCAGGAGGCAGGTTGCTGTTGCTCTGATGCAAAAAGGCAAAGAAAAGAGATCCGTTTGTGCCTGGGAGTTACTGCTCTGCTGAAGCACTGGGATGATCATGTAATGAAGCAGCTGTGTCACCCCGAAACTAGTCCTACATGGCCTCCTCTGAACAGGAAATACACTCTTGAAATACAGAGCATTCTTGTGGCTGCATTCCCCAGGAAGCTCACAGACAGGGTTGGCTACTTACCTTGGGCTACTAGGACACTTAACTTCAATGAGCTTTGGATGAGGCCCCTCATTTACAAATCTAGAACAAGTTCTTGGGCAAAACTGGTTCAAAGGAGCATGCATGGATGAGGGCTGTGATGTCCAAAGGAGCCTGAAATAGTAGGGCACCCAAAGCCCAGCTGAGAACATTAACACAACTGAATTGTTGGCATTGGCTAGTTAAAAGTAAAACAGCAGAACTCGTTCTTTAAAAAAAAAAAATCCATAACTCAAACCTCTATTTTAATTGAAGATTGTGATGAAATATTCATAACTGGTTTGAGCAGCTCTGACCTTATGGTATTTACCTCTTCAGGACCAAGGTGTGAATAATTCATTTTGGCCACTTCGATCTGTTCCCAAAGTTCTGGGTGAATCATTTCTATTCAAATTGATCATGAGTGTTCATCCTGGAAAGAGCGCTTTTTGTTGTAGCTTATGATTGCAATGTGATGTACAGTTAAATGAAGCTGCAGCTGCTAACTCACTGCACTGGAGTCCCCTAGAGAAACTGTATAGTTCATATTTTCTAAAAGGCTGTAAAATTGAAGGCTAAACAATCCATAAAACAAAAATTCAGATTAAAACTTCTAATGTAGTTGTGCACTTTTAACAAGATTGTCCCCGCTCCTGTAGACTCTACCCAGCAAAACAATTTGCAACATAAAAAAAAGACTTTAACTATGTACGTATCCCTGTCTGAAAGTGTAAATTAAACATTTTAACACTTTGAGTGCATTGAGTCATTTAACATTACACATTTGCACTATCTTTTGGGTGGTGGGGGGATGCAAAAACAGTCTCTAAACTCACCAGACTGAAGACACGCCATTCATGTTTAGCTTGGGCTGCTGCACCCTTTTCAACTGAATGATAGGTATGTCTAAGTTGTCGATCATGGTCTGATAATCATTACTAAAATAAATCTTCAGGAGGCTCTTGTGCCTCTCTCCCTCTCTCTATCCTCAGTACAAGTCTAGGGGCCTCGAATTTACCTGGTTGATATTGACAATTGATAATGAGTCATCTTTCTATCATCCTGAACACCCAAAGGTACTGAGGCTCAAGTAGGGAAAGTGCAAGGCTCCTCTAAAAACATTGGTTGGAGGTTTGGGCTTTTTCTCCCCAAATTTTTGTAGTCTACACAATTTTATTCTTAAATTTTCCTGTGTTTAGGAGTTCAGTTTTAGGGCCCAGAAAGTTTGTGAATTGTAAGACTGTGAGTCCACTCACCTGTACCCAAACATTTTAAATTGATTCTATATACCCGATTTTCAAACTTGGGTGCCTAAATCCCACACCCAGATCAATATATCAAATTAGTTCACAGGCAAGATTGCTCAGATTTGAGTGGTTTGTCTCGGTGGTAGCAAAGCTGAGAGTTAGAGAGAACAAAAACAAAGTCCCACATTGTGTGAGTTTTTGCTGGGGTCATGCACTGTTGTTTTGGAAGGGCTGGGAGTTGTGCCAGCTGTCATATATCTGCTTGGCTTATTAATGCCAGTGAGTCTTGGATCCGTTATTGGAGTGTATTGTCAATACTGCCTTGAAAAAGGGCAAGACCCCAGCTTCTCCATTGGAGCAATGAGTACCAAGAACCCATCTTTTGACAATGACAATCTCACAAATTATTGCCCTGTCTTGAACTTTCCCATAGCTCTGATGAGCTGGAGGAGGTCTCTTGTTAACAGAGACAGATTCTGAGTTCTGTACAGATGAACTGCAGCTTTCATTTTTAAAATATAATACATTTCTGTCCCTTTTCCTTGTGAAAATAGCCATGCAAATGTTAACTAGTAAAAACTGATTTAAACTGATTGCCAAGACAGTGAGGGGTATGCAGCTGGGCTTCTACAGCTAGAGTTTGGAGGCGCTAACGAGCCACTACATCAGCTCACAAACAATTTGCATGTGAAATGAGCCAATTGAGTTTGGGTTGTGTCCCCGAAGAATCATCTCAGTCACTCTCCCCAAAACCAGTGTTGAATATTGTGGTGTGCTAATCATGAACAGGACCTGTTTTTTAGCAAGGTGAAGCTTTTTTCACAACCCACTCAAAAATGCTAAGGCGAACTCTGCTTGGTTAGTTCCTTCCCAAGATGGTGGTTTCTTCCTCTCAAAGACTCTAGCAGCATCTTTAGCCCTTCAAACTGCAACACTCTGAATGGAACTGACTGACCCAACTGTCTCTGCTGGCTAAAAATGTTGATAAATGGAAGCATGAATATAAAATAATTGGAATGTGTCTGTTTTTATCTTCTTTAATAAAGAGTGTGTTTAGGGTCAATGTATAAAGGGAAAGGGGCTTCAATTGGGCTCTCAATGAAGCTAGTTATAACAAAAGATGTAATTTTTTAATTACATTTAGAATTTAAATTCACCTAAGCTTGGGCCTTGTAGAGTTGTTTTTACTACTACAGGCCCTGCCCCTGACTTTTAAGAGCTTCTTTTATAACTGCACTGTAGTAGCACAAGTAGTTTTTAGCCTTTTGATTGTTTATTTAAAGGAGAAGGACTGGCTCATGGACTGGGTAGTGGGCTACAGTGTCTTTTTCTTCTCTGTCACTCATTCAAAGCCAGCCCAGGTCAGCAATGACTGAAAGTTATGTTCTGATGGCTGTGTGTTCAGTGGTCAATGTAAAATGAGTTCATGGTCCTAGTCCAATTATGCTGTCATACTTCATGCATGCAAAATAGACTTCAGCTGGCTGAATACCACATTTTTTCTTCTGTTTCTTGCAAATGGGCTTGGAAGCTAGTTCTGCAGTAAGAACTATGCACCAGGAAAGTTCTGACTGTAAAGTCAAGTCAAGCTGCTGTTGTGACTGCAACAATGGTGTTCTTTTTATAGCAGAAAAATTACACATTTTCACTGTTATACCCTAAAATATTAGGAGTCAGTGTAGGGAGACCTGCTTCATAATGGAGAAAATAGAATGAAATCATTATATAAAATAGCTGCTACAGGAGTAATGTGTCTCAGGGGGTCATATAATGAACTTCATGATGCTACTGAAGATCCAAGCATGTTATTAAATGTTAAGGTAGACATTGCAATGGGAGTCCCTAACTATTATTGCTAGCTATTGTTAGATTTTTCCTTTGCATAGAAATTCTATCCGTATTATAAATCATTCTGCATTTCTATAACCTGATCAACATCTTGCTGTTTTGTATGTTGCCTGAATTCTGATCAATATCATGACCCTTTCAGACAAGCATTTGCAACCAGCTTTAGGAAGTACCAATCATTGCTGAGTGTATTTATTTTTTATAGGCGGAAACCTTCTATGACCTTCTGCAATATTACACTCATAAAAGTAAACCCTTTAGAGAACATGCACATGTTATCAGTCTGGGTACCTGCCTTTTTCCTAAGGGTTAGATTGAACAGAGCAAGAAAAAATGCAGGAAAGGCAGAACTTCCAACATCCATCTGCTGCACTCTGCTTAACATATGGTAAGTAAGATCACCTGGTGTTCAGAGGCCCCTGCTAAAGTTGGCCCAGTGGCATGACTTTAGGACAGAGAGTTGTCATAATGTCAAGCTCAGTTTCATTTTATCAATTAATTCTATTTAATTTTGTTTTAATGAAAATTT